ATTCCGGTATTTTAGTATTATTTTATCCCCATAAAAAAGTAAGATAACTAATATCGAAATAACTAATCTCGGAATAATTAATCATGTAATAACTTAACCAAACGACCCCTAAGTGTGAGAAAGATTAGCTAGGCAGAATTTGTTAGTGGCGAATAGTTTGAAACTATTTAGTGTAAGTCATTTGTGGTGCCGGGTGTTTATACCAAATCTAATTAATTAACCATGAGAGATAAACAAAAGTTTATTAGGAGTTTTAATTCTATTAGATGTTTTAGTTTTAATAAACAAAAAAATTAAATAGGTAGAGAATCAGAATAACTAATGTTATCATTTTCTAGCATTCTCCATCTTGTGCCTTCGTACTTTTATTTCTCCATTAAAGATCAAAAGAGTAAAGTTAATAAGGGAAGAAGGGACAGTATAAGGAGTTACTTATATAGAGGAGGAGAGTCGAGAAATAACTAAAAATTGTGAAACATTACTAAATTTTACAAGGCTTTGGAAAAATCAATAAAGATTGTGATTATTATAATACATTCAAAAAAAATTATTTGATTGATGTATGAAGAAAGAAGGAGATTTGGGTGCCCTACTGTTTTATTAGGGCATCTCCAACCCTTGCACCATTTTTTTACACCAAAATGGCGCAAAGTAACTCCAATCCATTACACTATTTTTTACACCAAAAAAGAATATTCCCTGTATATTCTCTTTCTCTTCTATATTATATTATTTTCTTTTTAAAACAAATCAATTCTTTTTTCTTTCATATTTATCCCATATAATTCATATTTCTTTCTTATAGAACCAGTTAATATAAAATTATTTTATACCTTTAATTTTTAAATAAATATAAATTATAAGCAAATATTATACATTATACATATTAATGTATAATTCAAATAAAAATAAAATCATTGATAAGATATAATTAAATAAATATTACATTATGGTAATATTTAGTTTAATTATTACATAAATATTCAACTTACAAGATTAGTACGTTGCTCCCACAAATGCTCTATTAATGCATTACGAAGTGCAAAATGAACATCTTTGTCCTTAATTTTTTTGTGTCGAGCTAAAAATTATTCAAACCGGTAATTTTCATCTCTACCATTTCTACTGTTGGAGTTGGACCTTCCCAAGCATTTTGAATTGGTGCACTAAGATCACGTTCATCCTCGATTATCATGTTGTGCAGTATAATACATGTAGTTAATATATCATGGAGCACTTCTTTCCTCCAAAAATGTGACGGCCCTGTAATAATTGCAAAAGGAGATTGCAAAACTCCGAATGCACGTCCAACATCTTTTCGACATGATTCTTGTTTTATCGAGAAATATTTCTTCTTTTGAGAACGTGGCTCACAAATAGTTTGCACAATAGTAGATCATTTTGGATATATACCGTCGGCTAAATAATAACCCGCATCATATTCTTTTCCTTGAATAACATATTGGGGAGGAGGAGCAATACCTTTAACAAGATTAGAAAACAAATGTGATGATTCTAAAACATTAATGTCATTATTAGTACCGGGCATACCAAAATATGCATGCCATATCCAAAGGTCATAATCAGCTACAACTTTAAGAATAATTGTCGGGGATCCACTACGCCCTGCATATTGTCCAGTCACAACCACAACAATCCTCTACCCCATACACTCAATATTTTAATGATTTGGTGGATCTGGAAGCGCCTTCCAGAGTACTAGATTATTGTTGTAATTTTCTCATCCCATTATGTTATTTAATGTATTTTCGATTTAATCTATGTCATTCGCTATTGTATTAAATATTTGTTTTTATAATTATCAATGAACATTGTGTTATTTATTAACAACATATTATATTTTAGTTTTGTACTTTTCATTTTTTGATGGTTATATATATATTTTTTTACAATTATAAATTATAATAAAATTAACTTGCAATTTTATATAAAAATAAAATATACGAAAATTAATTTATAAAAATTATACATCCAAATTAAAATATAAAACTAATATTATAAAGATACTACATAAAAACTATAATTAATTTTAAAATTATAATATGTTAAATTAAAAGTGTTATACGATAAAAGATAATATTAAAATAATGGTGAATAGTAATGGTGTTGATGAATAGTGTTACATCAAATTTGGTGTAACACTATTCACACACTAAAATGGTGTTTGATATAAAAAATGGTGTTGGGTTGGAGATGGTCTTAGTACTTCATTTGGTTTCTACGACAGTTCATTCTTTTCGATTTATTTAACGAGTCATTAAGATTTTAACAGAAATAGCTAGAATAGTAGTAATTAGTATTATTTTGATATTATTATTTAGGATTACATGCAAAACAAATGAGAGTTAACTATGATTAAAGACCATTAGCTAAAGCTAAATATGATGACAAGTGTCATTTATTTATTAGTTTGGTTTAAACACTCAATACGGGTAAATTTTTACCATAAAATAACAGATATTTTGTGTTCGAGCTTTGTGATATTTTTTTTTACATGACATAAATCTGAATGCCACTTGATTTAGGCACTGGCACCTTCTCATATGAGGACCAGCTATAACCAACCACTAGCCAAATTTCTCTAACTGAAAGAATCTTAAGTATCCACTCATATGCTTACACGTGTACACTCAGCCAATGAGCGCACTTGTGTTTCTTGACAACGTTATCTTCCAGTGATTGGGCTGTGAACACTCAAATTTAATTAACAAACTAAAAAAAAAAGGCTAAACCGATTAGGCGGAATTAAAGGTGTCTAACGGGCCGGGTTGACCCGGAATCGGACCGGCCCAGACCGGTTAAAACCGGAACCGGACCGGCCCGGTTCATAAGGGGCCGGGTGTGGGTAGGAGGGGTAGAGGGGATTGGACCGTTTATTATTTTTTACCGGCTAACCGGACCCGTTAAACCCGATCCAATGAATAGTGCCTCTAACCGGTTTAACCAGCTCGGCCCGGCCCAGACCATGAATATACCATAATATACCATGAATATACTAACAGACCATGAATATACCAATTATTGTATACTAATTAACATAGTTTAAAATTGTTGGAATTTAACATATAGTGTATATATTTACGGTATAAACCTATAAATGTTAAAATCATAGAATATGATGGTAACGTATTATTTTTAAAATATGCTATATATGTGTTATTTTAAGATTTTAAGACAATTTGAGTTATTGTAAATTATTAAACGTATTTATGCTTAATGTTTTAGTTTGTTAGATTAATTTGAAGTATTATTAATTTATTATGCATAAAAATTTAGATTTACTATTTTTTGTTAATTTACTTTTTAAATGCAAACTTTAATTTTGTAATTTTGAAATAAATGTAGCACTTGCAATTTATAAGTGCAATTTTTTCCCATCTTTCTTGTATTCTTTATATTAATACAAAGTACTAATATAACTTACCGTAGTTATACAAATTACAAAATATTAAAAAAAAATTAAAAAAATATAAACCCGGCCCGGCCCGACCCCCTCAACCCGTAACCCGTACGGTTCATTTTTTATCCGGATTAACCCGAACCCATTAAACCCGTTAAGAGCAAGCCCAGAACCGGCCCGGAACCAAACCCGTACGGTCAAAATAATACTGGCCCGGCCCGGCCCGGCCCGGCCAGGTTAACACCCATAGGCGGAATGGGCGGGTCAACAGCTAACAAAATTGCATACCGCCCTTTTATAACTTTAACTTGATCGAAAAAATATAGACAATTTTATTGACTAGCTAAATAATAATAATAATAATAATAATAATAATAATAATTAAAAAGATGTTATTTCTTCGAAATGAAGAGAACTAAAATTTACCATAGGTCCCTTTATTTTTGAGTCTAATAAAACATGTAAAGTTGTCACATTAATTGTGCATATAAATAATTTGATAAGAGCTTACAATTAGTTGCAGAACAAAAGATTATTTCAGATGTAGACCGAGGTATTAATAGTGATTTTCTAATCTCGCAGAACATAATATGATACGATAAAACAGAATACAATAGAAACAATGAGTTCAAAGCCTTATAGCTAGATCAAAGATTGTCGTCTTCCATTTTGAAAGTTATTAGGCCGAGACTCGCGATAACGCTCAGCCACCCCCTCATCTTACGATGACGGTAACATCGTCGAGGCTAGCGTAGTGAGTAAAAGGAACTTCGAAGCCAAAAATTCATTTAAGGGGAGTATACAAAATAGTGTCACACCTAGGATTGAACTTGTGACCTAAAATAAGTTTTCAACCACTTCACTACTACGTTAGAAACCTTTCAACATTTCATATATAACACAAAGAATTCAACATTTAATATATAACACAAAAAATAACTTTTTCCTGTTTATGCTGTATAATATTTTGATGAAAGAGATTCAATTGAGCAATGATCATAGAGATTCAAGATTTGTATTGTGGTCTCATGTTGAGCCCCAAAGGTACTGCTTTGTTCTTTTTTTATTTAAAATTGTTTTAGAGAAAATCTTGGCCACACTCGTGCTATTAATTTATATGATTACACAAAAAATCTCAAAGATTAAATGTTATTCCTGAAATGTCTATAGAAGTTAAAATGACCTACTTCAAAACATGGTTGAAAGATCCCAAACTAATAATAGCAATTTAAAATTTAAACCTAATAAATTCAATTTTTTCGCTTACAAAATTTTCTCTTCAAATAATAATTTTTATTAATATTTTACTTGTTTGTAAACTCCCCTCCATTTCGATTTATGTAAATTTATTTTCTTTTTTAATACATCCAAAAAAGAATGACCTCTCTATATTATTATATTGTGTAAAAAAAAAACACTGAATTCTAACTCATCAGCCCGTGGTGTCAAGACGTATGGTACCATATTTTGAAAATCTACGTGTCTTTATTCTGACCAAAAGAATTTACATTAACTGAAAAAGGGTAAAAGAAGCATATGTATTCTGAATCACTCAATTCCAATCAGCACAAAAGAAAAGAAAAAAAAAAATGAATCCTATAAAAAGACCACAAAATATGTGGAGCAAACGAGAAGAAAAACAAAGAAACTCCTTTGATTCTTGAAGATATACAGCAGTAAACAAGAAAATTAAAGTGGCTATATTTGAAAAGCCATTGTTACAAGAAAATTAAGGTTTGTTCTTTAACTTCTTAACTTTATATTGCTCTGTTAGAGTTCTTGTTATTGTTGCTTTATAATAATAGTAATTGAGCACTTGCCTAAGTTAGCAAATGAGCTTATAATAATTATGTTGACTAAATATAGAAAGCACCCATTACTCTAATCAGTGTGATTCCACTTTCTTTGGAATTTTTTTTTTTTACTATTTGTGCTTTCAATAATTTAAAGATCCTTTTTTTGTGCCACATTTAGGTTCTTTTTTTTACAAAGTTCAAATTTTTAATAGGTAGCTTTGTATCCTATTAGTGTTAGATCTCTATTACTACATGTTGATCATTCCGTTTGTTTCCTTATTATCTTGTTGTTGTTACGGGGTAAGGTTTGCGTATATACTACCTTCCGTAGAACTACTTATGGGATTTACTGGGTTTATCGTTGTTGTAAATTTCTATTGCTTCAGTGGTTATAATTGAGTGTTAATAGTGATGTTTGGTTTATCTCATTTTGCAGAAGCCAAGAAACAGGTTGTTTTCTGCTTGAGTTAGGAAAAGTTGGTTTGCTTTATTTGTGGACTTTTTATAATTTTTTTTTACATAAGAGGAAGTGGGTATTTCTTGAAAGTGGATATAGACTTTAGTGGGAATCTACTAAGAGTAAATTTTTTTTTTTTTTTTATAAATTAAGGAGAGGAGGGAAGGAAACAGAAAACAGAAAGTAAGACAAAAACCTTGGAATTGTTTTAGAAAACCAAGGTTTTCCTGTTCAAAATGTCTGTTGCCTTGTTATGGGTTGTTTCACCTTGTGAGGTCTCAAATGGGACAGGATTCTTGGATTCAATCCGGGAGGGAAACCGGGTTTTTGATTCGTCGAGGTATAGGAATTTAGTGTGCAATGAGAGAATCAAGAAAGGTGTGAAACAAAGGTGGAATTTTGGTTCTGTAAGGTCTGCTATGGTGGCTACACCGGCTGGAGAAATAGCGACGATGACATCAGAACAGAAGGTTTATGATGTGGTTTTAAAACAAGCAGCTTTAGTGAAGAGGCAGCTGAGATCTACTGATGATTTAGAAGTGAAGCCGGAGATCCCTCTCCCGAGGAATTTGAGCTTGTTGAGTGAAGCATATGATAGGTGTAGTGAAGTATGTGCAGAGTATGCAAAGACATTTTACTTAGGTTAGCTTCTTTAATCTATTTATTATTGGTTTACCAAAATTTTGGTTTAAGTACTAATTTAGACTATATGCCTGTTTAAGTAATCGACGAATGCAAAAATTGATCTTTGTTTGGTTGTTATTCAGGAACTATGCTAATGACTCCAGAGAGAAGAAGGGCTATTTGGGCAATATATGGTAAGGTTTCTAGCCATTTAATATCAGATACACACACACACTCACATACATGGTTAATTGGAGACAAAGAGGAGAACCCAAGTTGCTGCCATGTGATCAGGAGGTCACGGGTTCGAGCCGTGTAAACAACCGCTTGCAGAAATGCAGGGTAAGGCTACGTACAATAGACCCTTGTGGTCCGGCCCTTCCCCGGACCCCGTGCATAGTGGGAGCTTAGTGCACCGGGCTGCCCTTTTTAAAGAGGAGAACTCAAATTTGAGTTTGAGGGGTACTTGTAATAGGTAAAACTTGAGCTTCACTAATTTGAAAGGCAATTAAGAAGTCTTATTTGTTATATCATTCCTAATACCAGCCACAAAATTGGAAGGACTTGCTAAAATAATTAGACTCGAGCCACAGATGTAGCATGCTTTAACTTCTGGTCATTTCTGTTAGATTTTTAGAGGTCAGATTTGATCTCTGAATCTTTTTCATAAGAGAGTAATACTGGCGTTATTGTAAGATTATTTTGCAGTGCAACAAGTCGTTCTCTCCAAATTATTAATCTAGTCATGCATTGTCAAGACTACTTTTCAAAAGCACATGACTAATATACAGATGCTAATGAGAGTGTTGATTTTGATCTGTTATACTTCATCTTCAATGTTAATAGCATATCACTTCTGTTCCTCTTTCTTTCTCTTCAACTGTAATCTAGTGGTAATTGTTGGAGCTTGGGTTAGTGCATATATAAATGAACTTCTGAGTTGAAAAGTTTCTCATTATGTTCTTTTAAACAGTATGGTGCAGGAGAACAGACGAACTTGTTGATGGCCCGAACGCATCACATATTACACCCCAAGCCTTAGATAGGTGGGAAGACCGGCTTGAAGATGTTTTCAGTGGGCGGCCATTTGACATGCTCGATGCTGCTTTGTCCGATACTGTTTCCAGGTTTCCAGTTGATATTCAGGTTAGTCTTCCAATTCTATCATTTTTATCTTTTTCTGGTTCAGAGTTCTATGTCGCTTTCTTCATTCACATAAGTTGATTCACTTATGTCAATCATGTAAACTGTCTCATTGTTCAATATATCTTGCAGCCGTTCAGAGATATGATTGAAGGAATGCGTATGGACTTGAGGAAGTCAAGATATAGAAACTTTGATGAGCTATACCTATATTGTTATTACGTTGCTGGTACTGTTGGGTTGATGAGTGTTCCAATTATGGGCATCGCACCTGAATCAAAGGCAACAACAGAGAGTGTATATAATGCAGCTTTGGCTTTGGGTATTGCGAATCAACTAACCAACATACTCAGAGATGTCGGAGAAGAGTAAGTACAAACCTACATCTTTACGCACATCCAATTTGCTACTATGACATACCAAACATAAACATGAACGGCAGCCTTGGCGTATCCGTTAAAGTTGTTGTCACCTCACCCAGAGGTCACGGGTTCGAGCCGTGGAAACGGCCTCTTGCAGAATTGTAGGGTAAGGCTGCGCATAATAGACCCTTGTGGTCGGGGTTTCCCAGACCCCGCGCATAGCGGGAGCTTAGTGCACCGGACTGCCCTCTACGCACCAAAAAATGTTAGTTGAGCTGTTTAGTTATCAGGTTTATTTTGTGGTTATGTCAACAAAGTATTAGAATAATTGGCAAAACTGCAGATAGGGAAAGAAAACTCTTCATAAGTGAAGTGCTATTTTTTTATTGGTTAAGGCTTCCCTTGTTCTTATATATTGCTTTCCCTGCAGTGCTAGAAGAGGAAGAGTCTACTTACCTCAAGATGAATTAGCACAGGCAGGTCTCTCCGATGATGACATATTTGCCGGAAAAGTGACGGATAAATGGAGAAGCTTTATGAAGAAGCAAATCCAGAGGGCAAGAAAGTTCTTTGATGAGGCAGAGGAAGGAGTGACACAACTGAGCTCAGCTAGTAGATGGCCTGTAAGCAGTCGTAAACTCTTAGTTATATGGATATGATTTCTTGTTTGGGTATAATCTTTTTCTCTATTTTTTTGGCTGCATGGAATATGGTGGGGTGAAAAAAAGGAAGCAATATATCAAAATATCTGCACATTAATGATCCATTCCGTAGTATTTCCGGTCAATGAAATATCCGGATTTGGATAATTGTAGTGGTTCCATCAGTGATGTTATCTGCTACCTAAACTTAGATGGTTGAGAGACCTGATATCATTTTAGTTTGAATTAGAAGTAGTTTTACTAGTATGCTCGGAAAGACAACATCGTTCCCAAATTTACACCAGTATTCTCTTCGCCAGAAGTAAGATTCTCCTTAGATACTGATATGCCACACTATGATCCTCTATTTTCTTTTCACTTCCTAGGAAAAGAACAGCTTCATCTTCGTATGTCTTGATAATTTCATTGCATAGTTTAGGTAGAGGCACCGGAAACAACCTCTCTACCTTCTCAAGGTAGGGGTAAGGACTTCGTACACACTACCCTCCTCAGACCCCACTTGTAGGACTACACTGGGTTTGTTGTTGTTGTCGTTGTTGTTATAGTTTAGGCAGAGGCAAAGGCCTATACTTTTATAGGGCAATGAGCGAGAAACGTCTCTTCTTTCCTTATGATTTATTCACTGATCTGAAACTTAGCACTTGTTTTCTTATTGATTCCCGGGGCGGTGGCATTCTTGAATGAAGTCTATCCGAACCATATTTGCACTTCTCATGATCTCAGCTTTTGCAGGTATGGGCATCGTTGCTGTTGTACCGCCAAATACTCGATGAGATTGAAGCCAATGACTACAACAACTTCACAAAGAGAGCTTATGTGAGCAAACCAAAGAAGCTAATTTCCTTACCTATTGCTTATGCAAAATCTCTTGTGCCCCCTACAAGAACTCTCGTCTCCTCTAGCTAAGGCATCAATATCAGATTTAAATTAAAGCAAGAAAGCATATACTGTTAAAAAAGAAAGAATTTATAAAGTAGATAATTGTTGTATTGATGTCACTTGTATATCATCAAAAGTAGATTTTAAAATCCAATATAACAATTTCTAGTAATTGTATCTTCACAATCTTAAACCCTTTGAGGGAAATTCTTTTTGGTTCATTGGAAAAAAATTGTTGACTCCACATTGCATCTGTTATATTTTGGAAACTATCACCATCTTGAAGATGGTGGTCTGTGTCATTTTTCCAAAGAAGAATTAAATGGGAGTAACCCAACGAAACTATAGGCTTTTGGAGTTTTTGTTGGTTTTGGGCCAATTCAATTTTAAGGTAGGGGCTATTTAGAAATTAGTTAGTGCCTCCTAAATTTCAGCTTTTCAGTATTTTTAGGATAAAGATGTCCTGAATTGTCCCCGAGTTAAGATTTTTAATTTAAAATTTCAGGATAAAATAAATACTGGCTAATATCTAAATAACATACCTAAGAATAGCTATCTATGCACTTGCCCATAAATTGAGAGATCTCTGTACCTCGTCTGAGGGTGAGTTCTAATTTTGCGGTTAAAAAAAAAAAAATTAAGAGGAGAGGATATAGAAAGAGGACATCGGAAGATTCTAATTCTTTTAAAAGTTAGCTCGTTGTTTTCGGGGAAACTACCAACTATGTTCATTTATAAGTAGCTTATTACAAATATTGGTCGATTCATAAAATATTACTAATATTAGCAAAATATTATCAATATTAGTCAATTAGCTATTTGTAGCCAAAAATGTCAATTTTTTGCTTTCTTTTGAGCGAGTGTTATTAGAATAGATTGAGTACATCTTAAGGAGATTGAATCTCAGTTTTGAGATGATTTGGTGGAGTTTTGAGGTGGTTTGAATTGAAAATTCGAAGTAGAAGATGAACATGAAAAAAGGATATGTGTATCATTTATGTATCACATATATATCATATTTTTATCAAATATGTATCACATGTATATCCATGTATACCTGTATGTGAGATACATACGTGATACATGTTTGATACATGTGTCGTAGAAATTTTTTTTGAACTCGATTATAACTACGAATTTTAATACCAAATCAGTCCTAATCACCTCTAATCCTCATCAAATTTTGTGCATCGACTCATCTATATGTTCTCACTGAATTTCAACCATACCCGTTGAAAAAGGTCATTTTTTGCTTAGAGTTTTGGAATCTTGTAGATATATATATATTTCATCACCTTATTTGCTACCTCATCCATGAAATTTCCTTTTCGTCTTGTATCTAATGTTGCTAATCACGCTTAAAAAGGAAAACTTACACAAATGTCCCAAATAAATCTCAACTTACCAACCTCTAGCCATTAGTCATAGACTTACCAAAACTAGCCAACAAAAATTGAAAAATCAAATGATAAGGTTCTTTCTCTCAAAGAATCACATGCAAAAATCACCTTCCATATTTTTAAGCGTGATTAGCAACATTAGATACAAGACGGAAAGGAAATTTCATGGATGGGGTAGCAAATAAGGTGATAAAACTCTATACAATATTCCAAAAATCTAAATGAAAAAGGAACTTTTTCAATGGGTATAGCTGAAATTCATTGAAAATATATATATAAGTCAATATATAAAATTTGAGGAAGATTGGAGGTGATTTGGACTGGTTTTGTATCAAAATTCGTAATTAAATCGAGTTCAAAAAAGTCTTCTGCAACACATGTATCAAACATGTATCACGCATGTATCACACATACAGGTATACATGGATATACATGTGATACACAATTGATACACATATGATACATATGTGATACACAAATGATGCACAGTGCGATACACATATCATTTTTTTTCATGTTCAGCTTTTACTTCGAATTTTCAATTCAAACCACCTCAAAACTTCACCAAATCATCCCAAAACTGAGATTCAAGCTCCTTAAGTTGTGCCCAATCTATTCTAATAACACCCACTAAAAAAAAGCAAAAATTTGATATTTTTTGCTACAAATAGCTAATTGGCTAATTTGGCTAATATTAGTAATATTTTATCAATTGACCAATTTTTTGTAATGAGCTACTTATAAATGGACATAGCTGGTAATTTCCCGCTTAAAAATATGGGAGGAGATTGTTGGTGTGATACTTGGAGAGAAAGAACCTTATTTATTTGTTTTTTTTTAATTTTTAATTGGCTAATTTTGGTAAGTCTATGATTAATGGCTAGAGGTTGGTAAGTTGGGACTTGTTTGAGATATTTCTAAAAGATTTTGGGGATTTTTACTTACCTATACACTATTTCAAACCTTATTACGCAAAATGTCCATGTTTTGGTATTTAACCGACCTAAACACATTTTAGTTACAAAATATATACAATCCACCTTAAAAGGCTCCCAAATCCATTATTTGTGCCTTCAAAAGGGATTTAGTCACACCCTTTTCCTTTTTGTTTTTCTCCTCTTCTCTTTACTTATTTTTCTTCCGCCTTAATATATGGTAATTATTGATCTCTAAGCTATTTTCGTTCCAAACACGTAGGGGCATTCAAGAAAACAGAAAAATCAAAGCAAATCAAATTGACGAAAAACTTGATATATCTTTTGATTTGATGTTCATTTTTAAAAAGATAATAATGCTGGGATACCTCAAAGACATCCCCTCAAAGACCTCGATTGGTTAATTTACCTTAGAGATCATAGAAAATAGCCTTTACTGAGAAAAATAAATAGCCTTTATAGAACGAAAATCAATAAGCTACATATTGAAGTTACTGAGTCCATAGCCTTTTAGCTACATCAATAGCCTAAAAAAAATCAATTTTCTTCATTTGGTTGAATATTCCCTTCAAGATGGCTCTGAATCCCAGTTTGGAGGTCATACGCCTTAGAAATTTAGGCCCCATTTAGCTATGAGTTTTGCCAAAATAAATTTGGGATTTATTTTCAAAACTCATGTTTGGCCATAAATTTTGCCCATACTTTGGCCAAATCCCAAATCCCAAATTTCAAATCCCAAAATCCCAAAACTTGGGAATTATATACATGTTTTTCCAAAATAAAGTTGGAAAATATGTTTTGAAAACGTATGTCCAAACACATTTTCATCTTCAAACCAAACTTCACCCAAATCAGATTTTTCAAAACAAATTTGGGATCTATGGCCAAACGCTAGCTTAGAATGCAGCAAGTTTCCATCATTCTGTAATTGTCTTTCAAGAAGTTAAGCTAGAAATAACTTCTTCCAGTTTGTTGGATTGCTGTATTTATCTTTAGAAATATAGTTAGTCACGGAAAATGGACAGTACCTTTGACAGGAGCAGGATCGAAATTTTCTTTTTCAAACAGAAAATAGTACGTTTAATATGCAAAATTTTCTTAAATTTAGCTCAGTTTACAATTCGCACACTTAAACTTACTTAATTAGGTGACAAATTTGTCATATTCTCCTACTTATTGTTGATCTTAATTGCTTCAAATTTGATTTTCTTGATTACGCCGGAACTTACAGAAGAATTTACAAATAAAAAGAAAGCATATTGAAATTACACTGAAAAAGAGTTTAATACACCTCTTAAGAATGACGTGGGATAGCCTTAATTTTAAAAGTATTTGTTTAAACTAGCCTTTATCTCTTTTCTATGATCTAGAGATTTTCCCAGCTATTTCTTGTTGGATCACACTCAATACTTACAGTATACCCTTATTTACAACTTATCTACAACTTTCATACATTATTTGTACACAGTTAAATACAACTACAATATCTGTGATGACCCGAAAGGTCATCCAGTGTTTTAGAACTCAATTCTGCGCTTTTAAGCCTTAAAAATCTCATTTTTACCCTCTTCGATTTGCGTGCATAGTCCAGGCGTGTTTCCGGAAAGCTTTTATGTTAAAAGTTGATGAAAATAAGAAATCTTGCCAAAAACTTCATTTGAGTTGACTTCGGTCAATATTTTTGGTAAACGGACCCGGATTCGTGATTTGACGATCCCGGTGGGTCCGTATCATGATTTGGAACTTGGATGTATGCCCGGAATCGAAATCGGAAGTTCCTAGCCCGAGATATCGGACTTTGTCAAAATTTGAAAGTTAAAGCCTTAATAAAATGGAGATGTTTGACAAATGTTTGACTTTTTGAATATCGGGTCCGTATCTTGGTTCCGAAACCCGGTATAGGTCCAATACCTTATTTATGACTTGTCTGTGAAATTTGGTGAGAAACGGAGTTGGTTTGATGTGATTCGGATGTCCTGTTGAGAAATTAGAAGTTTTAAAGTTTTCTTGAAAATTTCATTTGATTTGGTGCTAAATTAGTAGTTCTAGGTGTTATTTTGGCGATTTGATTGCGCGATCAAGTTCATATGATGTTTTAAGACTTGTGTACATATTTGGTTTGGAGCCCCGAAGGCTCGGGTGAGTTTCGGATAGGCTACAAAGTGAAAATTGGACTTAGGCATTGCTGGTATTTGCAATTTTTGGGAATTGGCCTCTGATCTCACATTTGCGGGATCAGAGTTCGCATTTGCGAGCTACTTATCGCAAATGCGAAGAGTAGCTGGGCCAAGCAGTCCTCACATTTGCGAGAAAATCTACGCATTTGCAAAGTGGGCCCGGGAGGGGCAGTTTTCGCAATTGTGATCCTGGGGTCGCAATTGTGGCCAGCTTAGTTTGCATTTGCGAAGATAACAGAAATGTGAGAATCTTCGCAAATGCGCTTTGCGGGCAAACGCATTTGCGACATCTGCAGCTGGTAAAAGTGACTTACACGGGATTTTTCTCCCATTCTTCAAATTTTTAAAACCTAAAACACAAGATTTCCAAAGAGCTTTTCTTCCCCAAATCATAGGTAAGTGATTCTAAACTAGTTTATTTCAATCTTTCACTTCATTTTACAAGTTTTTAACCTAGAATCTAAGGTTTTCATGGTGGAATTGGGGATTATTGGGTAGAAACTAGGAATTTCGAAATTTGGGGATATAGACCTCAAATTGAGGTCGGATTCCAAAACTAATTATATATACGGGCTCGGGGGGTGAATGGGTAAACGGATTTTGGTCCGAATCTTGGGTTTGGACCAAGCGGGCCCGGGTGTTGACTTTTTCAATAATGGCCTAAATTGAATTCGTTATGATTGCGGTTGATTCCTGAGGCTTATTTTGAATCGTTTGGTTGGTAATTTGCTA